TCTGATCCAGTTGGAGTAGCTGATGTGGTTGATATGATTGCAGTGCAGGATACCACAGTGCTTTGTAATCTTTAACGTTTAACTGGAATGGACATCTTGTTTGTTGGTTTAAACGTGGCTCCAAATATGAAAAACAGTCAAGATCAGTCTCTGCCAAACTAAGATGAATCATCGAAACCTTCACGTTTACGCATAGGCTCTTCTACAGGCCGTTACTGTAAGCCATATGTTGCTTGAATTACAGGCAGTGAGCTAACAGCATGAATGTTTTCCACCTTAAAACTTCAGATAGTGATCTTTTTTGTCTCTTCTGGTTCTCTGTTTTAAAAAAAACCTTTGTGGTAATTCCCTATCACATTTGTAACACCTTGAGTAATAGATGTTAAAAGATCTTAAATTGTTAGTAATCCCTTTTAACACCCACTTTTAAAGGATGGTGAAGTTTATTTCCAAAGATGGAAAATCAACAACATGGATAGTATGGTTGGATAACTGTACAACACATAATTCTAGCTGGCAATGGTAACAATGCCGTTTGTTCGGTACCATTAAAAGAAGAAGAAAATAAATTCACCCCAAACTCTTTAGATCCCTCAATTTATTTCCCACCAGATTTCAATCACATCACATACCAAGACAGTACACATCTAATGCCAGCAGCATTAGATTTGGGCTCATCTTAGAATTTGTCCAAGTCATTTATTTTGACCGCTCTTCGTCTCAGTTTATAGAGAGTGAAGCTTTCTATGCAAACACATCTGACACTGGGAATTTGGATGGCTGCATGCTGACCGTTTAAACTTGGAACAGCTTCTGTTGAACAGTTATCCTAGAACTCGGGCCTCTCTAGACAGCTCATGGCTGATTTTTTAGTAATTTAATCACCTCTGTCTGCACGCATTTCTCAGCTGGAGTCCGGTTTTGTGCTGTCCATCTAGATGTTCCCATGTTGTGTTAGTAGTGCAGGGGTCACCACCACTCACAGTACACTTACATTCAGCATATTTCAATTCATATACTGATTTCAGTTTCAAGAGTTAGCTGAACAGTGTACATTTTGAAGTAACCTTCAGATGCTTAGAACAGTCTCCGGGAGCAGAAAGAGGAACAAATGGAAGGCATTTTCAATAAACACTTTGTTGATCTGATGCAGGTTTCTCCTACTCGTATCTGCTGTGGTGGCCATTTATGAGCTAAGTATGTGTCAAATTGAGCCACCTTGTAGAATTCAAAGCGAGGAGTTCAACAACACAATGCAAGCATTTGTGTGACAAAGATCTGAACTTGTTTCTACATTTTCTCTTGTAAATTTACACATGCAAACTGGAAGTTACACAACAGTGAGCATGTCAACTATCAACACCTGCAGATTCTGATATCACCAGAATGCTTCTAAGACCGATTTTACTATTACGCTAGACGGCTCTTCTCATCTCTTAACTGTGATCCTGGATTTACTTCACACATGGATTTATCAAAGCCAGGCTTTAGAACCTTAAAAAGTCACTTTCCAGTGGTTGCGTCCTTGTACGGGATCACTGGCATGCCTGACGTCCAACAAGAGCATCTGGAAATCCCTCACTGATTGGATTACCCATCAGTGACCTCCCCCTCCCACACACACACACACACACACACACACACACACACA